CCATCATCATCTCCATCACCATCACCATCACCACCACCATCATCACCATCATCATCTCCATCACCATCATCACCATCATCATCACCATCACCATCATCATCACCATCATTATCACCACAAATGACATCATCACCATCATGATCATCACCATCACCATCACCACCAACATCATCATTACCATCATTATCAAATCACCATCATCATCACCATCATCATCACCATAATCATCACCCTCATCATAATCATCATGGTCACCATCACCATCATCACCATCATCATCACCCTCATCATAATAATCATCGTCACCATCACCATCATCATCACCCTCATCATAATCATCATCACCATCACCATCATCGCCATCATCATCACCATCACCATCATCACCATCATCACCATCATCATCATCATCACCACCATCATCACCATCATCACCATCATCACCATCACCATCATCACCATCATCATCACCATCATCACCATCATCATCATCACTATCACCATCATCACCACCACCACCATCATCATCACCACAATCATCACCCTCATCGTAATCATCATCATCACCATCATCACCATCATCATCACCCTCATCATAATCATCATCGTCACCATCACCATCATCACCACCATCATCACCACCACCATCATCACCATCACTGTCATCACCATCATCATCACCATCACCATCATCACCATCGCCATCACCATCGTCATCACCACCATTATCACCATTATCATCACCACCACCATCACCATCATCATCACCACCATCATCACCATCGTCGTCACCATCGTCACCATCATCACCACCATCATCACCATCGTCGTCACCATCGTCACCATCATCATCACCATCATCATCATCATCACCATCGTCACCATCATCATCATCACCATCGCCATCATCATCATCATCATCACCTTCACCACCATCATCATCACCATCAACATCACCACTATATTATCACCACTATCATCATTATCACCATCATTATTATCACCAGCATCATCACCATCATCGTCATCATCACCATCACTGTCATCCTTACATTAACAGCAGCAAACACAGACTGGGCAGCTGTTGTGTGCCCGGCACTGAGCACTTGGCATGCACTTTCTCTTTATGACAATCTTTACAACAATCTTAGGAGATGGGTAACTATTATTCCCACTGAGGCACAGAGAAGACAAGCACATTGCCCATGCTCACATAGCTAACATGAGGTGAAGTCAGGAGTTTAAAGGCAGGCAGTGGGACTCCTAACCATCACCTTAAACCACTGGGAGATTTCCCAATTACTTCACCTACAAGGGGATTCCTGAGAGAGAGCCCTTGTACATGAGATAGCCCTTGCTATTTCACATAATGTTAGCTCCTGAGGGATTTCAGAGTGCTCCAAATCACCAGCCACCTGTCCTTTCTGTGCCCAGCAATGCCTGTACAACCAATAGAGAGAAAAATGTAACATGCCCCTTCCAAACATTTTTCTACAGAAGCAAAAATAAAACTCATAAATACTAAAACCTAATTCCAAAGGTCCCTTTTTGGACAGCAGAACTGACTTAAGGAATGCTTAGTATCACTTCTGAAAACTCCAAGTCCAAATTTCAGGGTGCCCTGAACAATAACTGAGCAAAGCTGGGTGTGTCTGTGATGACAAGACTCCTGAGTCCATGGTGGCCTGTTCTGCCTTTGTCACTGGCAACCTGCGAACCACTCTTGCTGGGTATAAAAGCAACAGATGCATATGAGGATTCTTAGGGCCAGGCTCTGTACTCTGTGCTGTGTTGATCCACTGAAGCCTCACAGCAACCATGTAGGAGAAATATTTCAAAGCTTCAATTTTGCTGGTCAAGAAAAGGAGACCAGGAGAGAAGAGACCTTTCCCAGGGTCCCACAACTACATGCAGCAGAGCCCAGATTTTCCCCTGGATCTCCAGCCTTGAGGCACATGCTGCTAACCACAGCACTGCGTGGCTTCCCAGACTGCAGACCTGGGGTCCCCAAGACCACTCTTGCTGCTTTAAATTCTGTCCGAGAATTGTAAACAGTGGTCACACTCCACAAAGAGTCGGGGGCCCAGGTCTCCATCTGAGGACTGTTGAGACAAAGGAGTCTTGGGGGAGGTCAGCCCTCTGCCCCACCACCCCTTTCATCTAGGAAACCTAAACAGTTCAGTTTTCCTGCCCACCACCACAAGCCCCTTCAGCTAGGAGTTCCACATAAGGAGTGTATGCAGCCTGTTCCCAGTAGTGCAGGCAAATAGCTCACTTTCTGTACCCCTAGTCAGTTCTTCCCAGTGTCTAACTTGAATTGCTCCTGCTTGAGTCTAATTTACTACGAAGTACCAGTTGGGCTGTGACAAACTGGCAAGGGGCCTCATCTCTGCCTTTCCTCTCTTCCCTTCACCTTGGCCTGGAAGCTCAGGCCTGCCGTTCTGCCCCCAATGAGGGCTTCTGTAAACCGCCTTCTCCCTTCCCTGCAGAAGGCATCGCTTCCCAGAATTAACATTTCCCTGCATTAGAAGCAAATGCACATATTTTCTCCCTTTTAAATTTGTTTTGCTAAACAAATTAATCTAGCACCAGACTATATTATGAAGAACCATAAATCTTTTCCAAGATAAGCATCTGTCGCATTAGATTAGCAATGTCCAATGTTACTGTGAATTAATTTGCTAAGCCTTATAACGCTGTCCCGGGCGTTTAACTTTAGTAATAACAAATGTAATTTGGAATAAACGGGAACTTGTTCCCTCATCCATGTCTATACAGTAAGTGACGTGTACTCAGAAGGTGACATAAACAAGAGCAGCACTCAGTTCTACTATGAAGATGGCTTGCAAATTTATTGAGGTAAAAACAAATGTTTTGTAAAAACTGCTCATAGCTCCTGACGCAGGTGATGAACTGCGGGCCCCGAGTTTCTGGAGATTCCTAGAGGGAGCTACATGGGAGGTGGCCCATGCAGGCCCCCCTGGACCTTCTCCCGGGGCATTCCCGAGCTCGGATCCCCCATCCCTGTCCCTGGCATCAGCATGGAGCTTGCATTCTGCTTTCATGGATATGTTGCTCTCTAGGGATCTGGAGCTTGGAATAAAAACTGCAGGTTCTCCTGTCCAGGTGAAGGAAGGAAATATGTCACAAGCTGGAGCACAAAAGCCACTCACCCCCTGAAAACCTGTCCAACTACTGACCACTGCCTGCCTGCACAAGGTGGGGAGGAGCCATGCCAGGACACAGTTTCTAGAGCGGACGCCAAGGGCCAGTGACACAGTGCCAACCAGGCTGCAGAGAAACTCCGAGGAGCAGCTCCTTTCCTTCCCCTGGATTCTGAAGAGGTCCGTGTAGGACCCACGGAGTCCGAGCCCTTGAGGGTGTGGAGAAGCAAGCTGGCAGGAGCCCCCACCCCTTACGTGCCAATGCCCTGGCATCTGCACTCTATTTTACAAAGTCAGCAAATACTGCTATCTGTCTGGGATGTGAATGCACGGATCCTAGCTGTGAACTTCTGAGTCATCGTGGAGCACATTAGCAGAGACAGAGGAAGCTGAAGGCAGGCGGGGACAGTGGCAGGGGACGCCAGGCTCCAAGCTCGCTCCCCTCAGGCCTGCTGTGAGTTCTGGTGCACCTCAGTGCAGACTACCAGTGTGGGGACAAGCTGTGGCCTGGGAGAGTTTCCAGGGCTACTCCTTTTCAGGCAATTGGAGGACGAGGAATAGGAGGAAAAAAACAAAACAACGTGGAAGGAGATATTTCAAAGGCAAGGACTGACATCATCCACATGCAGCTAGAATAACATGGCAGAAGAACTGAATCCGCCTGTTCTGATCTCCATCTCCCAAGCACCCTGCTAACCCGTCCCCAGGGAGAAGAACTCTGCAACCGGAGTCCCAGTTTGCAAAGCTTCAGTGACATTGCTGGCAGTTCTTCCTGCTATATAAGGTGACTCCTACACCTGGACCAATTCTATCTGGCAGTTACCCCACCCCCCACAGGGCCCACACCTTTGAGGGATTTTGAAGACTCCACAGGGCCTCTTAACTCCACCATGAGATGTGCCCGCATCTCACTCCCCAGCCAGCCCCCAGAGACCAAGTTCTGCAATTCCAGAAGATGTGGCTCTGTGTCCGGCAGGGAGTAGCTGGCCCCTAGCACAGGCATGGTGGGTACAGAGTCCACTCCTAGGCTGATTCTAGGGAAGGAAGCTCTCCCTTTCACATCCACCCTCCGTCTAGGGCACAAGCTGTACTTGCCAGTATACATGCGTGTGCAAGATCACGGACACACAACACCCCAGCTCTCCCCAAGGCCCCACACCCCACTCTTGGCTCTTTGCTGTTGTTCAGGTTTTGCCACTGGGAAACAGAGTCCCACAAAGCAGCCTCACCCCTGGAATATCAGCACCCCCACGAGCCACACCCCCAGCCCCCCTTCCCAACCAAGCCCAAACCAGAAAAGAGGAGGCCGTACCTGAGGTCTCCCCTAGAATCCTTGGGGGCTTGGTGTCTTTCCCATTGTTGCTGGGACTGGCAGAAGGCTCCGTTGTGCTAACCCCAACAGGGATCCTTGTCCGGGGACCCAGGGACTCGGTGAACCCCTTAGTCTGCAGCGTCATGGAGGTGGCCGTGGTAGCCATGGTGGTGGTGGTGGCAGCCACAGTGGTCTTGCGTGTTTGTAAGATGGAGACCGTGGTGGGGCCATAAGCGCCCGGAAACGTGTTAGTCTCCAGGATCTCCTCATCCCCCGTGGGACCCCAGGCGATGAACTCGGTCTCTGTAGTGGGCCTGCCGCCTCTGAAGTCAAAACTGCTGAAACCGGCCCCCTGCAGGTGCCGCCTCCCCCTGCGCAAGAGGGTCTGTTCTGTGGCCCCACTGGACAAGGGGGATGAGGGCGAGGAGGCGGCAGCCAGGGAGGGGCTGGATTTGGCAGCAGCTGGAGGCCTGGCCAGCCCCGCTTTGGGCCCAAGGGCGGCCACCTGGTCCCGGGGTCTGTGGGCACGCCTGGCCCAGAGGGCCTGCATTTGGCCGTGCAGCCGCTCTGCGCGGGGTGGCCGAGGGCTCCACACGGGCACAGGGACCCGCGCTTGCTGTCCACTTTTCAAACTCCACAACCGGGGCGGCCGATGCGGTGGCCGCGGCAGGAGCCGGAACTCGGGGCCTGGGCCCAGGGACTTGCAGGCGGGGAAATCCATGGCGAGCTGAAACATGGCTATAAGTATCCAAGCATGGCTTCCCAGGTGGCAGCCCGGCCAGCGGACGGACATGGAGCTGTGCAGGAAAGAGAGAGAGAGGTCAGTAGGAAGTGGGCCACGGCTCACTTCCATGACAAGGACACTCTTGCAGAAAGCACTCACTGAACTTCAGATGGGGTTTACTCTACTTCAAAGGCCAGCTCGTGAAGGTTTATCCATCAGCATCTGATAGAAACGGTGCCAGCCACATGTTTCTAGAGAGCTCTTTCCTGGCACCTCCATGGCCAACCATCTTGCAGGGCACACAGCCAGTGGATAAACCAATAGTCCACTTCACGGGAGGGAAACTGAGGCTCGGAAATCCCCCAGTGTCAGCCCTGACCAGATGACCTTAAAGACCAGCCAGTCCCCATTTCCGTACGCCCATAATAAAATGGAGACGCCCAGCAGACACAAGGGGAGTCCACGCAGAACCGGCCGTGGCCTCCGCCTGGGTCCCCTCCCCGACTCTCAGTGTGATTCAGCCCATCAGACCCCATGTGGGGCATAAGGGAAGGCATTTCCTGAGCACCAAGACCTGCCCTGCACTTTGCAAATGCCCCTGGCTCCCCTCTCCCCCTCCTATCTGAGCTGAATATGCATATTTTAAAGCAGGCTTGTTGCCTTAAATGCAGGACACCTGAAAAGCCTCATATATTTGGCCTCCTCTGGCTTTCACTCGGGAAAATGAGATGTGCTCTGGGTAAGCCAAAGGTTTACTGACGCCGAAGTGTTGACATTTCCGTTCCCCTGTTTATCTGCAGTGCAGGTGCCCTTTGAAGCCCTGTTATCCACCTCCCTAGCTCCGGGAAGGCTGTGGAAAGGTGCAACCTGGAGAGGGAGGCGGGGTATGCCTCTCAGCATAACTGAGCTGCAGGGGATGATGGAGACAGGAGGCAGGCGGTGTCCCCACCCAGTACCCCCTGCATGGCTTGGTCACCAGGCCTAGAGTTCTAGACCGGTGGACACTCGAGTATCACATGGGAATCCAGAGCACAGCACGAAGCCACGTGGAAGGGCTTGGAGGATCCGGCCCACATTCCCTATTCCACCAGCTAGATAATTGAGGACTGATTATAGGTGTCATTCAAAGTCAGTCCTTGTCACCAACTTCACATCTGAAAGTTAAAACGAATCCAAAACCTTAATGACTGTTGCAGTGGGGTGGGTGAGGGGGTTCGGGTGTGCTAAGTCGCCATCCCACTCAAAACCAGGCTTAGAAAAACGAGTTTCATAGTTTTTCATACGGTGTCACATGACATTAAGAAGAAATGAATCAGTGTTGTGCACATTATTGCAAGTGTGGGTGTCAGGGTGTGCAAGTGTGCACACGTCAGTGTGCAAGTGTTGGTGTGTTTACATGTTTACGTGTGAGTATGTGTGTGTGTCCCCATGTGCTGAGCATGCAGACGTGTCTGTGCAAGTGTGAGGCAAGTGTGAGACTGTGTGAGTGAGCATGCATGTGTCCCTGTGTGTCCATGTGTGCGTGCACGCCCCTCCTCGTGTGCCTGGGGCTGACTCTTGCTGATACATGGGAACAAGCTGGTCTTCTCAGGTCATCACAATGTCGAAAGAAGCTCGTGTTAATGAGCGCTAATTACCAAAAAGGGCTAATCCCTAAATAATAAAGGCCCCAGTGTTTCAATCAGAAGGAAAGAGCTCAGCTGCAGAAATCAGGAGCTGCTCGTTGCTGATGCTCCACACCCGGCTCCTGCTGGTGTGCCATTTCTCCACTCAAGCAGCCCAGCTCGGTGCAGGGACCAGGCCACTGTTGCCACATGGAGAAATTTAGGTCAGCATGAAATTCAGCCATACACACACGAAAGGACACTGCTCTGTGGCTGCAGGTGACCCAATGAGGATGGGAGATGGTTTGGAACCTCTGGTTCTCCCTCTACCTGCACATCTGAGTGGGAGTCTGGCCCTGAGGGGAATAAGATGCTGCTCTGAGCAGGTGTGGGGCCTCTCCAGACCTAACCAGGCCCCACCAGGCCTAACCAGGCCCCACAGGGCAGCACTAGGCCTCAGCAGGCCTCGCCGGGCCTCACCGGGCCTCACCGGGCCTCATCGGGCACCCCCCAGCACCACAGGCAGGCTGAATCAGGAGTAATGACAGGCAAACCTGCCTGCCGTCAGTCCTCGGAGAAATATCACCCCAGGAAATTAAAACCACAGCACCCAAGCCTGTGCCTGCCTCCCCGGCCTGCCTAACTTCACACGCAGGATATTTTGGTGATTTTTCACCAATCATGGGCTGTAATTGGTTACCATAGCAACTCCCTCATTTCCAAGACACCCAGCTGTTATGCAGAGAAACTAACCGATTGCAACTGCGCAGGAGAGGCTGATTTGTTTTTCCTCTTCAAGTCCAGTTTCTTTCTTTTTAAAGTGATCAATTTGTTCACAGAGGCAAAATAAAGAGGACAGGAGTCACGCCAGGACAGAGGCCCCGCCCCACCCCCAGCAGCCAGGACATGCACGGGGAGGTCGGGACTGATTCTGTGGCCTGTGGGGACGCACCATTGGCCACCAGGCCCGGCCAGCCTGCATGTGCTACGTGGTCCTTCGTAGTCCTGAGATGCACTCAGGGGACTTCCTGGTGACATGCTCCATCCTGTCATGGGGAGACTTTGGCTACATTTCCAAAGACTCCAGGAGCAGTAACGAGGGTCCTCTCTCCTCAGCCCTCTGATGACTCTGAAACCTGGAGGCAACGCTCTTGTCTCTGAGCTGCTCAGCACAGGGCCGGGGGGCCCCAGGGCCACTCTCGTTTCATGATGAAGGGGTTCTGAGAGGGCCTTACCCCAGGAAGGCATCCACGGTGCTGTCAGCCACTCCCTAAGATGGCAGGGGACCCTGCACATTCACAGGAGGGAGGCCCCATGCTTGGCTGGTAACGACAACACATTCACCAGGGCTGACGTGTGACATGCTCACCAGGGGGGCCAGGCAGAGGCAGCACCAGCTCCCCTAGAACTCTGGGGCACCCACAGGCCCCTTCAAACATGCCACCCACTTCACACCCACAAGGAGACCTACATGCAAAAAGACGATGGTACCTTGTGCTGGTGAGGCTGCGGGGAGGTGGGAGCCTCATGCATTGTGGGTGGAAATGCAGAATGGGGTGGCCGCTGTGGAAAACAGCTCGCAAATCCTCAAAACCTCAAACACAGAGTCACCCCGACCCCGCAATTCCACTCTGAGGTGTACACATCTGTCCACACAAAAGCCTGCACGAGTGTCCAGGGCCACACTATACACAGTGCCCAAAAGTGGAGCCAGCCCAAACACCTATCAATGGAAGAAGAGATAAACAAAACTTGGTTGAACCTAGGATGGAATATTATGCAGCCATAAACAGGAAGTACTGATTCATGTGATCCCATTTGTATGAAATGCCCAGAGTGGGTAAGTCCACAGCGATGGAAAGACTGGTGGTTGCCAGGAGTAATGGAAGCGAGTGCTTAAAAGGTACGTGGTTTCTTTTGGGGGTGATGGAATGTTCTGGCATTGACTGTGGTGGTGGTCCCACAACTCTGAATATACTAAACCCATGGGACACTTAAATTATATCTCAACAAAAACAAACAGGGACACGCCAGAGAAGGGAGGTGTGCAAGGGTCCCGGGGCTGATGGGTGTGTGCAGGGCATCGCGATCCTGGACCAGGCTCCAGCAGGAGGGAGGAAGGTGCTGCCGGCCCCCCTGAGCTGCAGGCACCTTGCAATGTCCCGATTTGTCAGGATTTTCCACACGGTTCTTGCCGGGATTCCCTGGGATCCAGACTCACTCCTTGCTTGGGCACCTGGCGACCCACATCCACACCCTGCGAGGACGGGTGGGGGCTGGTGTTCGTCGGCAGGTTCCAGCCCAGCTCTTCAAAGGAAGAGCAAACTCCCTTAGCCACCCCCAACCCAATCGCTTCCAAACGGGGAACTACCGCTCCGTCTCCCTTTATTTCTAGTTTGCAGCTTTCTTGCGTCTCTTCCTTTTAAATGTTTATTAAAATCTTTTTTTCCCCAGGAACAGTTTAATAAGATTCAGTGAATTGAGATTCAATTCGCTACCTTCTGTATATTTTCTTCACAGAGGAAAATCACTGTCAATTAAAGGAGACGAAGACATCTCTTCTACTTAATGTTGTACCTTTTCCCCAGGCTGGGACTTTGCAGTGTCGCCTCCTGGAAGTACCTAGTGTCTGACGTGCTGGAGGACTGGGTGGTGAGAGGCAGCCGGAGCCCTGGGACTGTTTGGCCCAGGGGACACCCCGGATCTTCAGGGTGAGACAGGACCTCAGAGCTGTCCGAAAGGTGGCCGGTCCATCCCAGCCCTGCCACAGAGACACCCTCCCAGTGTCTGCTCCCGGTCTTACTAATCATCTGCCCCGGGCCCCGTGAGAGCACCGCCCTGTGTGAGCAGAAGTCAGCTGAGCGTGGGCCTGCGGCTTCTGCCCGCAAGCCCAGTTTTCCATGCTTCATACAAGACGGCTGGAGCAGGTGGGCTCTGAGGTACCCTCCTCCCCTTCTAAGAAGACCCAGGCTTCTGTGATCAATAATTCACAGGAACCGCTAGAAGTGATTCCAAGGCAGCAGGCGGAATAGACACAGATCCCTTCGTTCCAGGGCTGTTAGCGAGTCCATCTGCTTCTGGGGAAGACCCCACCTTCAGGTGCACGTCCCTTCCACTGGGAAGCGGGGACCATCATCCCCACCCCCACATGACCCTACATCCCGGTGCTTCCTGACTCCCACCCCACTTCTGCTGGTTTGGTTAAATACACTTTTCATTTTAGAACACTGTGAGATTGACACAAAAACTGTAGAAGATACAGAGTTCCTGGGTACTCTTCTCCCAGTGTCCCCTAATGTACCATCGTGGTGACCACGGTACACGTGCCACAGCTAAGGAGCCAGCACTGCTGCGTTACTATTGACGAAGCTACACACTTTATTCTGATTTCACTAGCTTTTATCTAATGTCCTTTTTCTGTTCCGGGATCCCAACCAGGACACCACATGACATTTGGTCATTGTGTCTCCTTGGGCTCCTCTTGGGTGTGACAGTTTCTCAGACTTTCCTCGGTTTTGATGACCGTGGCAGTTTTGAGGAGGGCTGGTCAGGGACTGTGTAGAATGTCCTTCATTTGGGATTCGTCTAACGCTTTTCTCATGAGTAGGCTGGGTTATGAGTTTTTGGAGGAAGTCCACGGAGACAAAGTGCCTTCCCTTCACATCACACCCAGAGTCCCTGCTCTCAACGTGACCCATCACTGTTGAAGCTGACCTTGATCACCTGGTGGAGGTTGTGGTTGGCAGGTGCCACCGCTGGGAACGTACTTCCCGCACCCCCACCCCCACTTTCTGTATGTTAATCTTCAGAAGCAGGTCACTAAGCCCACTGCACACATTTTAGGGACACCCACTTTTTTTTTTTTTAACTCTTCAAGACTCCCCTGATTGACAGCCAGAGCGTGCAGGAGGGAATGGGAGGGGCAGATCTCAGGAGGCAACTCTCCCAAACAGAGAGAGGACGGGGGATAAGGGAGCTATTTCCTCTTTCCCTTAAAGGTGGCTTCAATGTTCCACATGCTTCTGGGCTTTGCGAAACACACCGGAAGTTGAAGGGGAGAGGCCAAGACCTCCAGTTCCGAAAACGGGTGCGGAGGTCGCTGTGCTCGTTCCCAGGGGCAGAGAACCTGCGTGAGCTGGGATGTCTCCCTGGGGGCGAGAGGGAGGCTGGCAAGGGAGAAGTACTGGAGATTTGCTCTCAGCCCTGTTGAGATCCACCAGTTCTGGGAACACGGTGGTGTATTCTGCTTTTTGCAAAGACAAGAGACAAAGGGTGCGGGCTTGGGGTCTGATAGAGCTGGTGGGAGCCTTCTGTGATTGAGGGGACAGGGTGGCCGGCCTCAACCCCAGCCTTTGGGCAGGGTAAAACTTCAAGTGCGGTGGGCCTTTTTCTCACCATCCAGACCTCCTCCAGACAGAACGTGCATCGTACCAGGAAGGGAACTCTGTGTGAGGTGGGAAGCAAGCTCTCGGTGCCAGGTCTGGAAATGGCCTCGGTATCCCTAAATTCTCCTATGATTCCACGTTGCTCCAGTTCCCTGCTGCTTCTGCCCTTGACAGAGAGGGGTGCTGTCTCCAAAGCCAGCAGACTTCAGTTCTTTCTCCCTGACTCCCCCATCAAGAGTGAGCTCTCCCCATGTCCCCCTAGGCCAGCCATCCAAGAAGACGCAGGTGGCTTCCCGCCAGATTTCAGAGCAGAGACCTACCCTCCCCCACTCAGGGGACACGGCCTCCCGCCTCGGCCCCCAGCCCTGGCTCAGGAGGGGAACACCCACTTTTGTCTGGGAGCAGTCACTGGTTCAATTTCCTTAATGAGAGCACTTAGGCCGTGACTCACTTCAATGGCATTCCCAGGCTGATGTCACCGTAATGTCCTGTCAACGCCGATCCTCGCTTTACCTCATGACTTAATACGATTAAGAACATCCCTCCCTTTCAGGAAGGGAGCCCCGGGTTGCCTAGAAGGTTTCCCTCCTCAGTGGCCCCATGCGCGCCAGTTGTGCACGCAGCACCTGACTCACAGAGAAGCAGCCGTGTAGGAGTGACTCACTTGCATTGGATAGAAACCTCCAGAATGACAGGAGGGACTTCTGAATCCCAGCCTGGGCCTCTGGCTACTCTCCTTCCCCAGAGCATGATGGTCAGCCCTGGGGTTCTGGGGCCCTCTCAATACCCCTCCCCCCATGACGGCAGGGCTGACTCCTACTCCGAGGCCAAAGTCCAGGGCTTCCCTCTATCTCCAGGAGGCAGCTCAGAGTCTGGTGTGCTCCCCTCTCACCAGCCAAAGTGCCTCCGCCCACTCCAGGGCAGCCCGGGACCAGTGCCTGTGGAGAGGGTGTGCTTGCTGTGACTTACTCACCCACCCCAGAAGTCACAGGATGTCCTGGCTGGATGGAACCATGACAGTGGTCTGGACCAGGCCACCCCAAAGTGCATTCATCACCCGCTGGTGCTTGGGACTCTGAGAGGCATTACAAGCCTTTGCAAAAGGGCTCCATGGCCAAGCTCATGCAAGGCACAATAGGCAGAGCAGAGTCTCCTTTTCAAGGAGCATCTTGGGGATCAGTGGATTGGTGTTTTATAGGCCACATGTCACAAAACACCAGCCTTATCCCAAACCTTCATTGTGAGATCCACAAATCAAGTGGCCTAGCTCGGGTCACAGTGAGCTGGCCTCAGTCTGGACAAGAGTCTAGGACTCAGGGAATCTAGGATCTGTACTCAGGAACTAGGTCCTACATCTAAGACAATCCTACATGTATAGGACCAGGGACATATAGGAAAAACTAGAGCAAAATAATTTTTTTGGTAACCTGTTACTCCAGTGATTCTGCCTCTTGGACAATCTAAGTAATGGCATTGCAGTGACAGAGGTGGCTGGGTGGGCACTGCACCTTGGCACCTGTACAGCAGCAGGCCCAGTGGGGCGGCTTCAGTGAGCCGCTCCACACCTCCTTGCGGAAGATCATAACCACGGCATCCTATGGCTACACAGACCATTTAGGGACATCTCTGGTTCCTATCTGGAGATGACTTTGTCCCTAGGAGACATTTCGCAGCGTCTGGAGACACCGTGTTGTTGCCATTCAAGGGTGTGGCCAGCATTTAGTGATAGAGGCCAAGGGTGCTGTGAACGTGCTGCAGCACGGACAGCCCCCACACAGAGACCCACCCGACCCCAGACGTCCAGAGGCCCAAGCCGGGAAGCCCTGTTGTGCAGGCATTGTCTGCACCTCCCAGGCCTGGCCAGACAGGAGTGATCATCTCATCCCCAAGAAGAAAGACATTCACAGATGGCACGTGCTCCAGAAGCGACATATGCAGGCAGCTTTGACCCTGGGCTCTGCAACTTGCCAGCTGTGTGAGCTTGGGCCATCTGTGTCACTACTCCGTGCCTCAGTTTCCCCACCTGTAAAATGGGACAAACAAAGGCACCCACATTGCAAGGTTGTCCTGGGGATGCCCAGGGTGAACACTGTGAGCCCAGCTCTTTGGAAGTGCTGACAGGGTCACCTACATGTTCCTCTACTCCCTTCCTGGCTGGCAACCAAGACAAGGGATCCCATCTCCTTTCCCTGGAGCTCTGGGACAGGGGGTCTGCAGCCCCTGTGGGGCACCATGGGGTATATTGCTCGACAGCCTTCACAGGTGCTTGAAGGAGACTGAAGGATAGCAACGGCGCTGGCATTCTGGTTGCCTGGGCAACATGCCCGCGAGCATTCTGGAGGAGTGAAGTGTGACAAGCAGTGGGTGGGTGGGACAGTGGGTGGCAATGTTCTCAGTCCCTGGGAGTGGGGAGCCTGGCTTCTGTGTCTGCAGCTGAGCCCCCACCGCTGCAGTCAGCCCCCTTGTGCCCCCTGCAGCAATTCCACGGCAGGAAAGAGGGCACGACATCCAGAACCAGCTGCCCCACAGAGTGTCCGCAGTCCCCCTGGCTCAGCTGCTGCTCCCACATGTCCTACATCACATCTGTGCTCTCCGAACGTGAGCAGCGTCTGCCCCACTGCTGGGCACCTCCCCAACTCACCTGCTGGCCCGCCTTGCCAAGTGCCCTAGGCCACACCTCCTGTGCCTCCTTTGAGGGTAGGGACCAAGGTCCAAGACAGGGCCTCCAGCACAAGCCGGCCCATCCTGAAGCCAAGCCCTGTCCCTTCTCTGTCTCCTTCTAGACAAAGGAACAGGCTCGGCAAAGCCAGCATGAGTCGGGGCTAAACTAGAACCAGATGTCTGGGAACCTCACCCTTCCAGAAGTCAGCTCGGAACAAGGAGGCTCGGGAGGGCCCTGGAAAGGCAAAGTCGATTCTGCAAATTCCCTGCAGAGGTTTTCAGCTCGGGCTTCCCACGAGAATCCCCTGGGGTGGGGAGGAGGGAGCTCACCTGGGCTGAGACCCAGACCCCACGCAGAACCACTCATCGGCCCTGGGGCAAGACTCAGCACTGGCATTTTTGGAAGCTCCCTGGTTGCACCCAGGGTGGAGAGCTCAGGAGTGCCCCCTGTTCCTCACTCAGGCCCCAAACAATCCCACTTGATGTCCATTTTTAGTGGGAGATACACGATGGGAGTGGTGGAGAGACGGTGCCACAGGCAGGCCTGGTGACGGCGGCTGACCCTTCAGCAGCAAAGGAGCCAGAGCAGGGCTCCTGGGCAGACGCACGAGTGTAACACGCAGCTGTCCTGGGCGCCGTGTGACACGTCCCCTCCAGGGAGCTCGGGGCCCTCTGCCAGGAAGACAAACAGGGAAAGATCTACAGTCTTGAGAAGACACAACAGCCATCTCAGTAGCGCATGCTTCACTGGGGAAGCCACACTGAAGAGGCTGGAGAGAAGGGGCACGGTGAGCACAAGGACAGTGCCCACACGGACCGACCGAGTGCGAGTGACGTGCCCGGCGCTGAGCTAAGCACCTGATGGGAATTGCCACCTGTGGGTCTCACGGTGGCCCTCGCAGGAGAGCTGCTGTCCCTCTCATCCTGCAGAAGAAAGGAGCATGCAAATATAGCAGATGCATGTCTGGAAGAAAGTCTCTTAAAAACACAACTGAAAGACGCTGAGGCTGAAGGTGGTGAGCATCCGGCCACAGGGAGAGGCCGGCCCTGGCAAGGCCGTGTCTTCCAAGGTTCTGGGTGCTGAAGACGGGCCCTCAGCCCCTCTTATGCTGGGAAACACGCACTCATCATGGAGAGCGGGCCGCATAACGCCACCCTGCTCCTGGTGACAGCGTTATCGCTCATTATTGATAGTCTCGTCCCTGACAAGGGGACCAAGAGAAATAAGGTCACATTATCTCTGGCTTCCAAAGCACCCACTGAAGTCCACCTATCTTCACGGGGAATACCTATTTTGGTTGTGCTAGGAGCGTTATGTTGGTATTTATGAAACTGAGCACGTATGCCAGGCACTTTTTAGGCCAACCAGGAGCAAAGAGGAAGCGGCGTGTGGCTGTTCCGTGGGCTCCAGGATTAGCAGAGACAGGAGGAGAGTGACACTGAGGGAGGTGGGTGAGGCCGGGGCCGGGACAGCACCAGGGAGAGCCCAAGGCCAGGTGGGTGAGGGCGGAAAGCCCACCTCCACGGCGAGCCCCCTGACCAGACAGCGGGGGTGCATCCCGCGTCCCTTTACCTCTCCTGGGCACCGGTGGGTGGGATGATGAGACGCTGGCAGAGCTTCTACAAAGGGCCCGGCTGCACTTGCTAGGAATGAAAAGGAGGTTCTGGACTCTGGCCACAGGAGGCTCTGCCACCAGAGCACCATGTGCCCAGCGACGGAGAGGAGCAGATGGACAGAGAAGCCAGAGAGGGGGAGGCAGGGAGCAGCCAAGGCTTGAGACCCCTTGGTTCTCTCCTCTGACCTCCAGGAACGCCCTCGGACCACCCCTGAGGAAAAGCTGGGCGAAGAACTTCCTTTCTGGGGTAACTGCTGAGAGAGGCTCAGAGTGGCCACAGCGTGGCGGTTCCTGCGTGGCAGTGGGCGTGTCGCCTTGAGGAACAACAAGCCAGCTGCTAAAGAGCTCAGAGCGAGGCCGGGCATGGGCATCAGAAAGAAGCTGACATTAGAGAAGGAACCTGGACAGTCTCTGAGCTCCCCGGGAGGCCGTGTGCGACCATCCCCCAGAGCAAGTGTAACCACTCGGACTGCTGGGATGGGGCCCCACGGTCACTCAGGGGTAGGGAAAGAGCCGATGACCTTGAAGGTCCTTAGGAGTCTGTGATCACTAGATTTCGGGTGGCCCGAGGAGCGGAAGGTGGGCCAGGTATTACACAGCTAAAAGTAAGCAGAGCCCACCCAAGGTGATTGGGTACCCAGAAGTCCTCCAATAGCCTCTCACACCCAGCTGCAAACACGCCACTGTCCTTAGTCCTTTATACTCAAGTGTAAGAGAGACTTTTGCAGGGGATCCAGAGCTACAAGACCTTAAGAGACCCCTGAGAACAAGCAGCACCCAGCAAAGGTGCACCAGGGTTGTCAGGGGCAGCACGTCCTCCAGCCTCAGGCTGCTCAGGAGCCCATCTAACATCCCAGCGTCCACAGTGGGGTACAGGAAGCAATCTGGGGCAGCCACAGCCCACGGGACCACCCATGCAAATCACGCACGTAGGCCCCGGGCTGTCTCCCCTCAGCTATGGAAAGTTCCCCTTCCCCATTCAGAGAGGGACGGACAGAAGTGAGGCTCAACCCACCCACGCGATCTCCTCCCCGCCCACCTGGCGCCCCTTGCGGCTGCAGCTGAGGCCAGCCGAGCGTAAGGAGCACAGAAAGCAGGTCCCCGTGGGTCCCCTGGGCTCCTGCTGCCCTGAGGAAGGGCCCCTGGGTGAGGCCAGTCCAGGTTAAGCCCATCGGCAATGGCCACCAGGCCAGTCCCCAGGCTGTGCCGAGGGTTGGGGTGAGACACTTGTGTGACGCAGCTCCTCAGCAAGTCCTCCTGGCCTGTCCCATTTGCTGCATCCATGCCCTCTCAGATGGGTGCGGCCACTCTCCTCATGTTAGCCACAAGGGGATGGGTTTTTGTAGATATGGGCGCACCGGCCCAAGGTCACCAGGTAGTGGGTGCTGCCGCAGGGCCCGGCACCAGCCATGGGACTCGGGAGGCCACCCCACGGGTGCACAGGCGAGGCCCTGCAGGGCGAGGTGGAGCCAAGTCCAGCTGCGGCTGCTCAGGGCAGAAGGGGCCCGGGAGGAGTCGTCCTGACGCAGACATCACCTCTCTACCAACCACCGCCACGTTTCCCTGCCTCTGCTCCAACACAGACGATGACGGGGACTTGCTACAAAGAACACCAAGTGAATGGAGGATGGCGGCTGAGTTAGAAAAGCCTTCCTTGTTGTGGTTCCTGCCCCCACGCCCAGTCCCAGCTCTGTGCTGAGGGGATCCAGGACCAATCTAACCCCTGTGCTGCTCACACGTGTTCCTGACGCACACACAAAGACACGTGTGCACACACAGAACACCCATGTGCACACACACACACACACAGTCACACACACAGTCACACAGGTGCACAAATGCAAGGACACACAGTCACATGCACTCACACAGTCACATCCACACACAACACACACAGTCACACACTCACAGACACAGGTGCACAAATGCAGGGACACACAGTCACATGCACACATGGTCACATCCACACACAATACAGGTACACACTCACATCCACTCACAACAAACACAGTCACACACACACACACAGAGCCACGTGCACACACACTAGTTCCCAGCCACCCCTTTCCAATTCTCCAAGGTTCCCTCTTGCAGTCCAGCTGTAAAATCCCGCCATCCTGGCCACCTCCATCAGCACATGCTGTCTCCCTAGGCATCCAAGTGGGGTGTCCAGAGCAAATGCAGCTTGGCATAAAGCTGCCATGACAGCCGCCTGATGGCATGGGGACAAGACACTGTAGGCTGGGAAATTTCTTCCCAGAGGAACACTGTGGAGCCAGGCCAGCCCGGTGGCCCAGATGCGGGAACTCCCTGGAGACTGGAACTTCTAACGCTTCCTAATGAGATCATCCCATCCTGACAATGTTCCTCAAAAGCAGGTGTCACAAGATTTCTTGCTGGAATGTCTGGGACACTTAATAGCATTTCCAGGAAGCCCGGGAGCTTCTGGGTAGTGGCTGGAACTTGAACGAGGAGGAAATACTGTTTTCTGGGAAAGCCCAAGTTTCTGATTGAACAAGGCCAGGAGGCCTCCCCACCTCCACCCCAAAACACCTGTTCTCAGGTTCTGGTTGGTTTTTATGGAAGCCACTCCCTGCCCAGACGTGATGGTTTCAGACACACTGAATTCCCCACTCAAGAGAGGGTTTACCACGATTCTCTGGAAGGTTCTTCCCCTAGGCAGGAATGGCAGTGGTGGGCTCCCCAGAATCAGCAGCGTCACCTCACAGTGTCTGTGACACGTGGCATCTTGTCTACATCTTGCATTTGTGCTCCAAGCTCCAAAGCAAATTTCCAATACGGGCAGGGCAGGGAATAGTTAATCCCATTGTACAGATGGGGACACTGAGGCCACAGGTAACAGGGGTTATAGGGGCACAGCCAGGATCTATACCTGGCCTACCTTCCCGGGCCACCCACACCACCTTCCCGTTGAAGGAGGTGATCCTCAGGAGGCTGCCGGATGACCTCTGTGTGCAGAAATCCATGGCCTCTAACTGGGTCATTAGGAATCATGATCAGAAACTATGAGACGTGGTCAGACAAGCCCACCCCTCCAAAGCCAGCTCTTAGGCAGGAGTTGGGGGTCAAGGTCATTTCCTGAGGACCATGGCCAGGTTGATCTTCATGGGGGGAAACAGAGAGACACTTGGCTGTGCACGGGTGCTGTGCAGCTGCCAGGCCCCAGACTGGACACCGAGCCTCATTCTTCATGAGAGCATCTCCCTGGTATGAAGAAAACACCCGACATTGGAGCCAAACGATGCAGCGTCATTTGTCCTTGTGGGACACGGGGTAAGTTCTTCCATAACGAGGCCATTTGTCCAAACTCGCCAGCCATCACTGCGCCCTGTCGTGCCATTGCGGCCCACTCTGACTAGGCTTCCAGCTCCCCCGATTTATGACAACTGTCAAGGTCATCTACAACGGCCGCATTTCCAAACCCAGTGGACAGGCCCCTATTGTCACCAGATGTGGCCTCTTGGTAGCACTGGCGACAGTTGCTCACTGCCTACTCAGCAAGTGATGTCTTCCGTCAGGGCCAGCCTCCTACCTCCCTGAGGCTCTGTGACGGGCTGAGTTGTGTCCCCCCAAATTCATAGGCTGATGTCCTAACCCCAGGCCCCCAGAAGGTGGCTGTGTTTGGAGATGGGGTCTTTAAGGAGGAGAGTACAGCACAATGAGGTCACTAGGGTGGCCCCGATCCAACAGGACGGGTGCCCTTCCAAGAAGAGGCAATTAGGGACAGCCACGTGAAGACACAGGGAGAAGGCAGCTTTCTGCAAGCCCAGGAGAGAGGCTCCGGAGAGACCCACCTTCAGGACTGTGCAGAAGTCAAGTCTGCTGTTGCAGGCTCCTGGCACAGGGGACTTGGTTGGGGCAGCCCAAGCAGGCCGAGCCCAGCTCCTCTCTCTCTTGCCGTCCACTCAGCTCCCGCCTGGAGGGCTTCAGGGCTCAGTCCCCCATCTCCACTCTCTCCCCCCATGGCTCTGGCTACTGTGTGTGCACAGTCACTCACAAACATGACCCCGCCTTGTAGGCCAGCCTGGGCCTAACAACCTGCACGGCTAGCTCACAGCAGAGCCAACACAGCCCCCACGAAACCTTTGACCACTTCAGGCGGTGCTGCCGGGCACACCCTGCTCATCTCCGACCCCTGCCCAGTGCCATCTCCCTGTCCTCCCCAGCCCACCTCGAGGTCCCCGTGTGACCCCCGAGTCCATCTCCATGTTAGCCTGGTCATTTATTTTTCCAATACTGTTCACAGGTTTATCATCCCTCTATCTAAGTTTGATGTGGACACCTCGCTGGAGTTCATGCTCCGTGGGAATGGGGACAATGTCCATCTTCCTCCGTGGGGCTCCCGAGTACACAGCAACCCCCACCCCCACCACCATAAACCTTTGTTGAGAGAATGAGTGAACGGATGGATGGTTAAGTCACCTGACCTCTCAGAGCCTCAGTTTCCTTCATCTGTCAGAGGAAATGACACCGTGTGCTATGGCAGGGCCATGGGAGGCAGAGAACGAAGAGTTGGGAGGTGCCAGCTCTGGGTGAAGCACACGACCACCACGGGAGACTGTGATTACTGCGGCACTCGAGCGGTTCACGGGCCATGCCCACCCCCAGCAGAGGAGCACACTGCGCTGAGGGCCTGAGCCCCTCCCCACCACCTCCCAGCACCCATGGGGTCTCCCTCTCTGAAGCAGAGACCGTCTCCGTCAGTGTCTGCCCCTGACGCCCCCAACCACTGGCTGCCACTCCAGTTTAGTGCCTCGTCACCAACTTCTCACGGGCACCTCCCCAGCTGGAGGGCCTTTGGATCCCGGGCAGCCCTGGGACATCATGCAGGTGTGTCTGACTCTTCCTTTGTTTTCTCCCCATAAAATGGAATAGAAGCCAATCCTGCCCTGAACTCCCACGGCCACAGGTGGAGGGAGGGGAGGCGTGCGCAGGAAACTAAAGTGCAGCCAAGGAGCACCTTTAATATTAATCGCCCTTGAGTATGAATATAAACTATGCTTATTAATTTTTACTTTCCTCCAATTATTCAGTAGACATTTATGTAGCAACCAGCATGATGGGCGCTAGGCTCTAGAAACAGGCAGACATTGTCCCTTCCTTCTCCAGCCCCAGCACGGAGCAGGGGCCTGGCTTCTAAACGCACACTTAATGGCCATCTGCGAAGTGAATGAATGGGTGCGCGAATGAATGAATCAGGAGCTCCAGTGCACTTGGGGAAACAGACATCTTAGCTGACAAGACCTAGAAGGGGCCAGTCAACGTGCGGGGTGGGTTCAGCTCTACCTGGGCGAGCCTGGAAGCCTGCTTGGAGGAGGTGATGAGCCTTGAATGCTGAGTAGGAGTTTATAGAAAGGCGGAGGGAGAGAGCAGAGGAAAGGCCAAGGCTTGATTTGTGAGGTCCTTTCAGGAAAGCTAAGCAGCAGTCAGGAGGGCTGCTGAAGAAGCGGGCAGTGGGAGCCCTGATTGCCAGCCTCGGGGCAGTCGGGCCCCCACCTGGTGCAGGTCCCAGCACCTGTTTCCTCCTGGGGTGCTAGAAAAGCCTCTCTGGGTGGTCACTGAGCCCTCTGCCCAAGGCAGACACGAAGCTGGTTCTTACAGTCATTAGCTCGGTCAGTCCCGTAGCAATCCACTGATGGAACACATTGCCTCCTGTGCCTCAGTTTCCTCATCTGTAAAATCAGGAGATGTGACCTTCCAAGCACATGCAGCACGGAGTGAGCTGGGTCTCAGAACCAGGCTCTGGGTCCCCAGAGCCCCGGGTGGGTAATGGTTCCATTATTTTGCCTGGTGTAGGGTGAAGAGATCCACTTGGCAAAATGGTTCCTGGAGGAAGATTTCAGGGAAGGGACACAAGCCCTCTGTGAATCTGAGCCCCACGATCCTGGCGAGCACATGCAGTGGTGGCTCTGGGCTCCCTGCGGGTCTTAGGGCCTTTCAAAAGCCACTACGGGGGGCCAGGAGCAATAAGCAACAAAGAAACCTGCCTTGCACATCACCCCACGCCCCCAGGACCCTGCTGAAAGGTTTTTCTCTTTTCCTAGTCACCTGGTTTGGGGTATTAGAGAGGCAGGCGCTGCCTTTAGACTTGGCCAGAAAGCAATTAAAAGTCATCCTAAGAATGAATCCCACTGATGAGCCATCCAGATCCTGCCGCATCAGCCTCTCAGTGTAGGTTTAGAGGCCAAGAGGGAGAGGGCTGACTGAGGAACTCGGAGAAGGAGAAAGGAGCAGCCCAGGGCACGGGGAGGCATTCAAGTCCACTGACAACCCTCCCCGGGCAGATGCGCGGCCCCCATGCTGAGGCTGCACTGAGAAGGTGCCATCGAGCTGCCTCATTTCTCTGTGCCTCTGTTTCCTCTCCTGTCAAAGGGGTGCCATTTCGCCTTGGGAAGGTGGTGATGAAGTGAGAATCTATATAGGCAGTGCTGATACTGGGTTTGGAAATGATAAGCCCCAGGTCTGTGGCCAGACTCCTCAGTGACACCTTGCCTGGGGCAAGGCTGCTGGGGGCTCCCCACCACCTCCCCCAGCCCCACCCTATTTGAAGGAAAGCCAGAGAGCAACCCCCCTCACGCCTGTCTCCGCCAGGCTCCCATCCTCTCTGTGGGTGCGCACCCAGGAGAGAGGGGACCTCGGTGGAGCCGCCTTACCCCACCCACCCTGCTTTCTCTGTCCCTCCCCAATTTTTTCCGGGCTCACATGAGTGCACCTGTCCTTCACCTGTGCCGAGCGCTTTGTAGCTTGGGAAGCAAGTTCACGTTCATCCCCACGCTGGACGCTCACAAGCCCTGGGGAGCCAGGGGCAGCCCCAAAGTCCACATTTCAAGGTTGAGTCAGTCCAGTGACTTGCCCAGGTCCACCCCACCCGCTAAGCCAGCACTGAGCCCCAGGTCTTCGGGGCCCCATCCTCATCCTGCATCTTGTCCCCGCTGCACCCACCACCACCTGCCATCTGAAGCCACCAGGAGGAAGTGCCCTTCCCATCACCCATGCCTCTGAGCCGCCCGGGGCTGCCCTGCCTTGGGCAGAATCCCGCCATGAACACCTTCCCCAGCCTCAGCCCGTGGGTGGACAGCGTGAGTCTCCACCTTCCTTGCCATTAAATCAGAAAACAGGTATTTTAGGTGCAACAAATTGCTTGTTCAGTTGTTAACCGGGCAACCCTTTGGCAAGGGGAAAACAACGTAACCGCCTTAATCAGCTGAAGTCGTACCAGGCGCGTCGTTCTGAGTTACGGGTAATTGTCTCTGAAACCGCTCTTGGGACAAACATGTCCGTGTCTCTCTTTACTCGTCACAGACTGTTCCAGATGCCCCGTTCCCTCCCCACGATCTCCGAACGCTCCGCTCTGTGGAGGACAAGGAGCGGCCAGACCAGAGCCACCAGGCTCGCCGGGAGCCCCCGTGCCCCTGCGGGTGCGTGATGGGGGCAGGGGACCCCGAGAGTCCCCAGCCTGAGCATCCACAGCACGACCGTTCTTCTGACGCTGTGCACTGACTGGGGGCCACTCTGCAGGGGCAGGGCTGGGCAGCCCGATGATGCCTCTGTGCCTTGGTTTCCCCACCTGCAGAAGGGGAACGGTGTGCTCAGGGGACCCTCCGTGAACTCTGTGAGGTGACGTGATTCAAGCACACGCTGAATCTCCATGACAAGAAAAACCTAAGGAAGACAGCAAATCGGGGTCTTCTTTTTTCCAGAATTCTATTTTCAAGTTGAACACTTGTTTGTTTTCAAGTGAGAAGCTACATCTTGGATGTTTTCACTAAATAAGCCTGTTTGAATGTCGACCAGGACGCTTCCCACAGGTTGCCTCTCACCTGAGCGCTCCAGCCTCTCTCTCCCTCTCTCTCTCTCTCTCT